ACGTTCTCATAATACAGCTGACAGTTGACTATGGAATATTTAGGAGCGAGGAAATTTCACAACTGAATTTGTCGCACGGGTGGCATCCTATCACTGTTCGACGCTGGAATTCACTGAGCTCCTAAGAGCGACCTATTCTTTCACACATGTTTGTAAAAACAGTCTGCATGCCTAGGTACTTGATTTTATACACCTTTGGCCATGGAAGTGATTGGAACCCCTGATTATGATTATTTGGATGGGTGAGCGAATACTTTTGGCAATATAGTGTATTTTCCGATTAGGTCTTATTTTTTTTAGTTAGTTAATTAGTTAGTTAGTTAGTTAGTTAGTTAGTTAGTTAGTTAGTTAGTTAGTTAGTTAGTTAGTTGGTTAGTTACCATGGGCGGGGAGGAACTGGCATACCGCAGACCAGGACTGTCTCCACAGACAGGGGTTCTGTACCCCTGCTCTAAGCAGTTTCCGATATTGTTCTTCACCTATAAAATGAAATCTTGTCAAACCAAAGCAGACTATTTGCACTATAAAAGAGATACTCTAGGAATTATTAGGGAGGAGATGACTTCACCTCCTTTCTCCCACACAAGCTATCTAAACTTCGTTGTCTTTTGTTTTTCTGGAATGCACTTCCTTGATTTACTATCGTCTTCTACAGAGTGGGAAAAGTCAGAGTAAGCCAAATTTGCAATGAGTTTCCCAGGGGAGGGGTCCCCAGCCCCTGAGCTGCATACATGCAACCGTCTGTCACCCGCCAGGAACTGGGCTGTGCAAGCAAGAGAAGCTCCATCAGCGCATGCGTGGGATCCAGGCAGTGTACAAAAGCAGCCTCCCCTCCCACGGAACCAGTCCCAGGTACCCAAATGGCTGGGGGCCACTGTCCTGGGGTACTAAAGGGGGTGATAAGTCACAATCTCAGCAATGTACTGCTGATAAATTGATGTACTAAGACTCCATACATGTGCAACAGCAAGCATTTTGTGAGTTTCCCAAAATTCCAAAGTACAGTAGCCTAAAATGTGAAGACACATATTTTGTGCCTCTCCTCTGCATATGTTGTGAATAATTTTGTGAGCTCTTTCTGTTATGTTCTGAAAGAGTTCTCTAACTATACAGATGTACAGATAACATTTTAAGGGTTCAACAATTTTCATACTTCTCACTAAATCAGTATGGATTAAGTCTACCTTTGTATTTTCTCCGGATAATTTCATACTAACTCCTGAATTTTAAGTACCATATATCCTATCTATGTAAAAAAATAATGTCTCCAGTATTTTCTCTGTATTTTCAGTATAGCTGAAACTCTTATTACGTCAGTATTTTCTCTTTTAGATGCCTCCTTAATTTAATTATCCATCTCAAATTCTCTTCCCTCGCCACCCATCCTTCCCCAGCTAGAGATCAAAAACAATTTTTGATTAAGACTTTCTGAAGTACAAATCAAAGATAGTATGTTCTGATCTAGTTGATGTTCACTTTCATACCTGCTTCGCTTTTTCCAATAAATCATTCTGCTACCTTGATTAGTTTTATGGAGAAGTTCTACAAGATTCATTAGATTTGTTAATTCTCCCCCCCCCCCAAACCCTCTGCGAAGGAAATAAATTTTGCTCAGAACCCCAAGGTGCAATTTGTGTCACTTCTGTGAATGATTCAAAGTGTTAAACATTGGTTGTGTTTCCCCCTCCCCTCCCCCAGCTTTTACATTCCCAATTGGTAGTGTCAGTTTTAATTTGGGTCCAAAGTGAACTCGGTATAAATAAATTCTTAATTAAAAATGAGATGTTGATGTCCCCAAAGATGAGTCTGGACTGGTAAATAATCATGCTTCTTTCCAGTCCAATTTCCTTTTTCAAGAGCCTTGGCAATAGGAGACTCAAAGATTTTATATCGTATTTAAATCTCTGATAAGGAGAAATCTGTGATTAAGCCATGCTCTCTGCCTAATCCTGCTATGCTGCATCATAACTGAGGTTTTGCGGAAAAGATATGAAACACACCAGGAGTATGATGTGCCAAGAATATATATTCCCACAAGGTTCACTAAGGTGTGAAGAAAATCCCAGGTGTCCAACTAAAGCAGCTACTCTATGACGTAGGAAAGTGCTGGAAACAGTATATTACTTTAGTGACAATGACCCTATTTCATACTGCACAGGAAGAGACACACCTTTACAGCGGTACTCGATACTCGACTGCTTCAAAACTCATCGAATTTGGTACTTGACACGTTTTAATGCAAAAATGTTGTCCTGGTACTCTTCTTTGTTTGGTACTTGACATATTGCAAAAGGAAGCGCGGGACAGCTGCAGAGGGTGGACACAAAGTTGGCCATGTTAGGAAGGTCGCTGATGTAGGAAAAGGGACAAATAGGAAATTCTTTCTAGCCTAAACAAAGGATCACGTGGTAAATCACATGGTTTGGTTGCTACTCATCCTTTTTAGTACTCGTTATGCCTCCCGGAACTAATTAAGCATGAGTACTGAGTTACCGCTATATTTTATCAAAAACCTACTACATAATAGATAAAATAAAGTGACTGTTGATATAAGTAGTAAGTGGAGGCACTTACTATCAGAATTGAGCCAGGGAGTATGATCTTAAGATATTGTGGTTGTTAAGTGCGTCACAGATTGCAGAGATCATTAAGTGAATACCAGAGTTATTTTTTAAAATATTTTTTTATAGAGCCGAGGTGGTGTAGTGGCTAGAGTGCAGCACTGCAGGCTACTTCAGCTGACTACTAGCTGCAATTCGGCAGTTCAAATCTCACCTGCTCAAGGTTGACCCAGCCTTCTTTCTTTCCGAGGTGAGTAAAATGAGGATCCAGATTGTTGGGGGCAATATGCTGACTCTGTAAACTGCTTAGAGAGGGCTGTAAAAGCACTATGAAGCAGTATATAACATATTTTTCACAGTATAAGATGCTCCGAAGTATAAGATGCACCTAGCTTTTGGGGAGCAAAACAAGGGAAAAATATCTGCCTCTGCCTCCCAGCAATTTGNATGGGGTTGGACTAGAAGATCTTCAAAGTCCCTTCCAACTCTGTTATTCTATTCTATTATTGCAGACGTTTCATTACCCAAATTAGGAAGCATTGATGATGTCATCTAGATCGTAATGAAACGTCTGCGAGAAAAAAAAAAGAAAGCTCAGAGAACCAAGGCCTGTAATTCGGCCTTATACCGCTAGATGGCGCACTCTCTATTAAATGAGTAACACCCAGCGACTAGAAAGCGGGTCAATACAGTAGAGCGGCATCGATGGTGGCTGAGTACAGACATCCAACGAGAGGGGGAGCGACGGAGCCTAAAGGTATTGAAACAATAGAGTACTAGATTTCTAGAGAGGATGTGAAACAAAGGAGAATAGAGAAAGTGCCTCTTCCGGCTGACCCGTGGGAGGACGGAGGCTCTTCCCAGGACTTCATCAGCTGGAAGGTGAGTGGAAGGCAGGTCGGAGGAGAAGCCGGGAGCAAGCAGGCTGCTTGGTTTGTCCACGATGCAGAAGCAGAGAAGAATCCAGGCTGAAACATGTCAGCTGCTGCTGCTGCTGCTGCTGCTGCTGCATGATCCTTCCCTCCCCAAATGTGGTGCTGGTCGCTTTAAAAGTGGTGCCTGCAAACGTTCTGCTGGTTGGGAGATTTTAAAAAGTCTCCTTCAGTTTAGGATTGATTGACGCTTTGTGATTTTTATGGACGTGTTAGGTTTTTTTTTAGGAACTCTGGGGTTTCATTCACAAAATGGGATTATATCTTGCAGATGATTTGTGCACCGTTTTATCTGTTGGCGCCTCTCCTCCGTTGAAGACCCCGCCCCACCTGTCAAATATTAAACCAAAAAGTGTGACTGTATGCACTCCTGGGAAATGGATGTATCTGAAATACACCTGGGCTTTTAACATACTTAAATTGGTAGGTGTCTCTGTGTGCATATTTATATAATGTATCCTCAGTATTTCCTGCTATATTTGAAAATAACATCTTTTTTTTAAAATAAAGTTTTTTATTTTTTGTTCTCTATTTATACATTCACATAATTACTATTCTTTTTTTTTACATTCATAATTCTAATACATTTGTCATTCCATTTATAGAATTGTATTATTCCATTCCGGTTGTTTTGTTTACCATCCCTCGCCTATTTTGACATCACCTTCTTCTCCTTTCCTTTTCTCTTCCCTTACCTCCTCCTCTTCCCCTTCCTACCCTCTTTCATTCTCTCTTCCATCTTCTTCTCCTCCTCTCTATCTTCCTTCCCTCCTCTTCCTCTCCTCTCCTCTTTCTCTCCCTCTCTCCCTTCTCTACTTTCTTCTTTCCTCCTCTCTTTTCTCTTCCTTCTTCCCTTACCTCTCCCCTACGTCTCTCTACCTCTTACCCTCTATCCTTCTCCCTTCCATATTCCTCTCCTCACCTTCTCTCTTCCTTCCCTCCTTTTCCTCTCATTTCCTCATTTCCTCTCTTTCTTTCTTTTTCTATTGCTGCAGGTGTCTCTTCCAGCTCTTCATTTCTATTTTCTTGGGGTGGTATTTCTGCAAACCCAAAAAACTTTGTATATCATTTCTTGTTTTAATAAAATAAAATAAAATAAAATGTTTTTCTTTTTTGGTCAGACAAAGACAGACAACACATAACACATAGAACCTTCTTCAATCACGTACAGCATGTCGTTTGGTTGTAAAGTTTTTGTGCATCACTTCCATAGTCCTCACTTTCAAATGTATGAAAAATCACAAATTATCAACTCATTTTAACCAAATTCACATATCATCAATCCAGTATATTCTATAAAAATTATTATAATTATTAAACATTCATTTGACTATAAATTGCTTTTACATCCTTTTGTATGAAATATCCTAAATTTAATTTAATAGCATTCTATTAAATCTTCCTAAAATCATCCAATAACATTTCATCTTTCTAACATATTCTAAATAAAAATTGATTATATTTATTATTATCATTATTACTCATATATATGACTATATATAATATTCTAAATTTAACTAAGTTTGACTTAAGGCTCTCTCAGTATAGCTGTATCTCTACTTCCCTACTCTATCTTTTGGATGACAAAGCTGTTAGCTAGATTGGTCAGGAACCTCTTCAACCTCCCATCTGATACAGAGCCTGTCTCACAATTGATATCAGGGCAATTAAAGTCCTCTATTACTGCTGTGGTGTGTTTCCAACATACTTTTGTTAATCATAGTTACCATAGCAGAAAAAAAACCCAGGGCTGAAACATGTCAACTGCTGCTGCATTTTCCTTTCCTCTGGAGATTTTGTTTGAGTGGTGCTGGGTTTTTTAAAAGTGTTCCCTGTAATTTCTTTGCTGGTTGGGAGATTTAAAAGTCTCCTTCAATTCAGAATCAATTCTGATTTTTTGAGATGTGCTGTTTTCTTGAAAAGTAAGAGTTTATATATCTGGCATATGCTTTGAGCGCTAGTTCATCAGTTGAAGCACATCTTCTGCTAAGCCCTTCCCCCCTCTAAAATTGGACTAAAAATGTGAGCGTACTTACTTTGGGGACATTTTTTTGGCTGTAATACACATCGACCTTTAAAATACTTATATTGGTAGGTGTATCTATATTTGTCTCTGGGTGCATATCTGTATAATCTGTCCTAGGTATACCCTGACATATTTAAAAATAGCAGTTCATAATGCTAAGAATTTGTGATTTGATGAAATCCAGAAGAGAATTAAATATTTGTGTGGATATTTTTGAATTTGGATCTTGCTAGTCTTCTATGGGTCAAATGTATCATAGTTAATGTTAGAGGTTAAAGTAACATTTTGTCATGTTTTGCTTTCTCATTGTAATGCATGTTTTGTTCTCCTGCTGTTTTCACATTTTCTACAACCATTAAACTATGAGCTTGTATCGATCTTACAGATGCCAGGAAGAGAATTCCGGTCAAGTGAGAATCACAATCAGAATTAAAAAGGAAAGCAAATCCAGCCAGCAATGAAAGTATTTCCCACTTCTTCCCCTTCTTCTGGCAGGTAACAGACAAAAGAGAGAACAGGAAGAGAGTTTTGGGCTGGAAAAAAATTGAGTATATAGAACTCAAGCAAGCACTCCCAAAAAAAGGTAAAGAGGGATCATTTCAAAATTCAGAAAAAGGGGAAATACTCTAGAAATCCCTGGAGCGGAAAGAGACACTTGGATAGGCGTAGAAGACAGACAGTCATGGAAGCTTCACCCTGTGAAGAAGGAAAGAGTAGCTTGGATGAAATAAAACCATATCTCTGTCCAGGCTGTGGGAAAACTTTCATTCGGAATGCTCACCTGTTGAAACACCTGATGATTCATCACGAAGGAGAAAAACTGTATAAGTGTCAGTATTGTGAGAAAAGTTTCAGTCAGAATTACCATCTGGTGGTACACCTGAGAACTCACACAGGAGAGAAACCCTATGAGTGTCGGGATTGTGGGAAAAGTTTCAGTCATAATTCCAGCCTGATGATACACCAGAGGACTCACACAGGAGAGAAACCCTATGAGTGCGAGGACTGTGGGAAAGGTTTCAGTCATAATTCCGGCCTGATGATACACCAGAGGTCTCACACAGGGGAGAAACCCTATGAGTGTCCGGATTGTGGGAAAACTTTCAGTCAGAATTCCAACCTTGTGAAACACAAGAGGATTCACACAGGAGAGAAACCATATGAGTGTCAGGATTGTGGGAAAAGTTTCAATGTTAATTCCATCCTTGTGAAACACAAAAGGACTCACACAGGAGAGAAACCATATGAGTGTCCGGACTGTGGGAAAGATTTCACTAATAAGTCTAGTCTTATAAATCATGTAAGTGTACATACAGGGGAGAAACCTTTCAAATGCCCAGAGTGTGGACGGTGCTTCTCGCAAACTTCCTCCCTTAAGGCACACAAGAAAGTCCACATGAGGCAGAAGGTGATGAGAGAAGAGAAGGCTTGAATTTCTTTTCTGATCTTTCTTTGCCAAAGCAACTGAGAAATTAACTATTTAATTTCTGGCCTGATTCAGTTTAGTCAAACCTGTCCTCAGTATTAGGCATGAGGGAGAAAAAGAACTGGAAATTGAAAGTGTTAGGTTAATCAAGGTTAACTACCTATGTCCGGCTGTTAGCAGAATATAGTGGGTATTCTCTTGCAAAAGTAGTGCAACTGTTGCAAAAATGATTTGGAGATTTTTTTTGTATATTGATAAACAGATATCATAGAAATGCAACATTCAGATTTCAAAAGCCTGCTGCAGATCCTATAAAATATATTAAAAGATAGGAGCACTCATTTTTACTTAGTGATTGTAGCTCCTTAAATATGAGGTAATGGGAGAGGAGGGGTAAAGAGGGATTAGAGTTCATATTTTTGTAAAATTTCAGAAATTCATTGCAGGAAGAATCCCTGTTCAGATTGTGAACAGTGAAGGAAGGACAGTGAAGAACAGAATACGAGGGAAATTTTGGACAGTGAGAAAAGCACAAAAAATCCTCATGTAATAATTGTTGACCATGATAAGCAAATGTTATTGGAATGCTATAGAGAAAAAAAGGGGTTGTGGTGTTTTAGTGTAGGATTTTCATGTTTATAACAACTCCTGCTGTGATGCCTTTGTTTCGACATGCCTCCTATTATCCTTTGAATGCTGGTGGATTAACCTTTGAAAGCTGGCAGTGCCAAGATTCTGAAAAATTTATTAAGTTTAGAAGACCCCCAAAGAATTCAATGGTTGTTCATTATAATAATATATTTCAGGTGCCACCATATACAATGCCACCATGATTCTGGACACATAGAAGCAATAGAGCATGTTCTTGTATGCCGATTAGTGTACATACAAAGTGACAAAGTTATTTTAAGTTCTAAGTCTAAATTATCCAGTGATTGTAAGGATATTTGTATCAGAGTTGTCTCTCCAGTATTCAGGGCACACAGGACAATTCTCCATGCTGCTTTTAGATAGTCACCCTGGTACTACATACAAGATAATGTTGCCAGGTTCTGCAGAGCAGCACTTAAATTTGGTCAGATGATGGATGACCTGTGCCATAAAGTAGTCTTAAGGAATATCCAACTCATCATACAATTTGCTTTGTGGAATGATTGATTTAATCTGCCATGTAATAAACCATTCAACCAGAGGTGGGTTTCTAAAAGTATGCACTGGTTCAGGCGAACTGGTAGTAGTAATTTGGGCTGGGTCATAGAACCAGCAGTGACCCAGGCTGGCCATGCCCCCAAACCGGTTCCCTGGTCTTCACTGCCGTTGCTGGCATTTTTTTTATTAGGTTTTCATGGTCTTCACTTCCCTGGTTTTTCCTTAGAGGTGGGTTCAAGCAGTGGTGGGATTTTTACCAGTTCTGTGGGTGTCTCTTGGTGGGTGTGGCAGGGGAAGGATACTGTAAAGTCTTCATTCCCTCCCCACTCCAGAAGGTTACTGCAAAATCCCTATTTCCTCCCAATCAGCTGGGACTTGGGAAGCAGAGAATAGATGGGGGCGGGGCCAGTCAGAGGTGGTATTAACCGGTTCTCCAAACTACTCAAAATTTGCCATCTGTCAATTGCAGAAGCAGCTTTACTTGGAACTGCTTCTATCCTGCAGTGATATCTGTAACACCATCAAACATCCAGATTTGCCTATCCCAGGTCCTTGGTAAAGACTCAATAGGTAGACAAAAATGCCAAACCCAGGCTGAACATCTGGCTGACTGTTTGAATAATAATGATGATGATGGTGGTGGTGGTGGCAAAAATTCAACGTTACCACCAACAGCAAATGTTGCCTCTGTAATGAGAAAGACAAGACAGTCGACCACTTGATCAGTGGGTGCAGCAAAATTTCACAAACTGACTACCTACAACACCATGACCGCATTGCTAAGATCATTCACTGGAAATTGTGCCAAAAGTTTGGATTTGAGTACAGCAAAAACCACTGGGACCATCAGGTTGAGAAGATTTTAGAGAATGAGAAAGTCAAGATCTTGTGGGACTTCAGAATCCAGACTGACAGGCACGTGGCTCACAATACACCTGACATAACAATAGTTGAAAAGAAAAAAGTA